GGGACGAGACGGTCAGAGCGGCGGTTATTTTTCCGGTCGATGATCATCATAATCGACAACTTTTCCAATCCCCTTTCACGCGAGCGGCGCTTCTTTCTCACCGTGACTGAAAGCCGCTTGAGAGAGCGCCGCTTTCCGCACTTTTCCGCCGCGCATTCGATTATCGTCACGGGCGAAAACGCCCGGCGATACACTTCCGTGACGCACGCTGGGAAGAAATGTAGCTCGCGAGTTAAACGAGATCGTTGCCACGCCAAAGGCGAACTCGCGATCTCAACGGGGGGAGACCGCGAGGAAATCCGCGATATTTATACGGCGCGCGTATTCGCAGACGAATCGCCGCGCGGCGACACCGTGAATTTTGCGATACCTTTCGCAGTCCCGTGCGTGCACACACACACACACACACACACACAGCCGAGATTTGGCGGTATTCCAATTGTAACGAGGCGACCCGACGTCTGGAATCGCTCTCGGGTAAAGCTCCGCGCGCTTTGAATACGAAACCAGATTGCGATCCTCCTATATTTGAATAGATAAACCCCATGTCGCTCTCTCTCTCTCTCTTTCTTTCTCTTTCTCACACGCCCATATACATACACATATATCCTCTCTCTCTCTCTCTCTCTCTTTCTGTCTCAGTTTCTCCCAAAATCTCGGAAGAATCTTATCTCGCAATCAGTCCGAGTGGGACGCAGCCGTGTCGCGCTGAAACACGCGCGAACTGTAAAAATCTTCCTGGAAATAATCCGAAAAATGTCCCGAAGAAATATTATTCATACGCCCTCTGAATCTTCGTCTTCGAGGGTGCTTGCATCACGAGGCTCTCGCGTATGATAATGATATGATTCCGTCTATACGGTTAGGAGGGGGGCGGGTATTCAAATCCGACTGCTTGTTTACGAAAACATCGAAAACGTCTCGGGACATTTACACGGCCTGCCCGTCGTCCGCACGCTCTTTGATCATCCGTCCGAGAGGAGACGCGAGGGCTTGAACTTTCATCCCGTAAATCCCTCGTCCCTACCCTTATCAAAGCGCGCGTACGCCGCCGGTAGTCCGGGATCGCGGCGGGAAAAGAAGAAATCGCGCTCAGTTTCGCCGGGAGGATTTAATCGGGCAGAGACGTGTAACGTTGCTTTTCTCTTCTTTTTTCCGGGAAATCTAATCGCCGACGTTCCCGATTGTTTCCTCCTCCCCTTCTTCTTAAATTACCCCCGAGCTGACCCTGAGTTAACGCGCGACTGGCATTTGCATTACGAGCCGCTATTCACACAAAGCTACAATTTTGGCCGAACCCGACCCCGTCCGTTGCGAGAGAGACGTTCCTCCATTGTTTCTTAAATGCTGTCCAACATTTCAGAAGTGAATTTTTCAGGTATTTCGAGAAAATACAAAGTGTTAACGACACTTAAGAAACACCTTATACATAAATATATTCGCAACTCACAGTGTGTTGATTCTTATCGGCTTTCTTTATTTACCGATTGTACATCTGAGAGCCGTAATTACGTTCATCATCATCTTCTTCTTCGTTCTTCGTCCTCCGACCATCCCGGTGAACGCGACGATTGCGAAGAAGCGCGAGCCTTTCCAGCGCGGCGGGGGAGGATCCAGCCTTCGCCTCGGCTAATTATCCTGGCGCGTTTCCGAGCGCATCGCGACGCAGCCGAGCGCGATGCGCCGCGACGTGTCCCGAATAATTACGGCCGATGCTAATTTGTCGCCGAGACTTCCGTGCGCGTCTTGCAGAAAAAGGCGACGAACGAGAGGAGCGCGCCTCCCGCCCCAGAAACGCGCAAAGGTTCGTCTCCGCCACTCTCTCCGCTTCGTACCCTTGTTCGCGCGCCCTACCGAGGGCGCAAATCCTTTCCAGCGACGCGCCAAATGCACCCGAATGCACCCCGCGGCTCGTTAATACGCAAAAACGTCGCCGGCGCTCACAGGAACCACTACGTGTTGAGAACCCCCCATCGTCATGGCAACCCCCGACCTCGCAGACGACCGACATCGCCCTGTGTTGGACGTCCGGGAACGTACCCCCC